GTCTATAGTCATGGGAAAATGGTCTAAATCACTATAGAGAAATGCAAATCAAAACAACTCTGAGGTACCACTTCACTCCTATTAGATTGGCTAATATGACAGAAAAGAAAATGACAAATGTTGGAGGTGTGGGAAAACTGGGACACTAATGCATTGTTGGTGGAGTTGTGAACTGATCACTGATCCAACCTTCCTGGAAAGCAATTTGGAACTATGGCCAAAAGGCTTTATAAAACTATGCATACCTTTTGATCCAGCAATACCACTAGGTCTATATCCCAAAGATATCATAAAAAAGGGAAAAGGACCCACATGTACAAAAATATTTAAAGCAGCTCTTTTTGTTTTGTTTTGTTTGTTTGTTTTGTTTTGTGTAGCCAAGAACTAGAAATTGAGGGGATATCCATAACTGGGGAATGGCTGAACAAGTTGTAGTATATGAATGTAATGGAATACTATTATTCCATGAGAAATGATGAGCAGGTGGATTTCAGAAAAACCTAGAAAGACTTACATGAACTGATGCTAAATGAAGTGAATAGAATCAGGAGAACACTATACACAGTAATAGCAACATTGTATGATGACCAACTATCAACTTAGCTCTTCTCAGCCATACAATGATCCAAGACAATTCCAAAAGACTCATAATGGAAAATGCTAACCACAACCAGAGAAAGAATTATGGAGTCTGAATACAAATCAATTTTTTTATTTTTTCTTTGTCATGGTTTTCCCTTTTGCTCTGATTCCTCTTTCACAACATGACTAATGTGGAAAGATGTTTAACATGATGGTACATGTATAACCTATATCAGACTGCTTGCTATCTTAGGGCAGAAGGTGGAAAGGGAGGGAGAAAAATTTGGAACTCAAAATCTTATAAAAATTAATGTTGAGAACTATCTTTACATGTAATTGGAAAAAATAAAATACTTATTAAGTGGAAAAGAAATAAACAACAAGTTAATTGACTGATTGATTAATTTTTAACAGAGTTCCTACCTTCAAAACACCTGTTTCTCGAGAGAAGAAACACAACATGTATACAGATAAGCATAATGTACAGTTTAGTAAGAGCAAAGAAGAGATCAAGACAAACTGTTGTAGAAAACTCTGAGTAGGAAAAAAAAAAAGGGAACAGGGAGGGAAAGGAAAGGAGATGCAGGAAATAAGAAAACTCAGCTCTTCACAGAACTGGCAACTGAGCTGAGCCTGGCAAGAATTTTGACAGATTTTATTCCTGGAAAAGAGCAGAAGCAAGAAATAGTATGTTGTCTTTGAACAATGAGTTATCTAGGGAGGATTATACTATGGCACAGCTTCAGCTTCAGGTACCAGCTAGCTGAGAGACTCTGGCAAGTCACTTAACCATAATCTGCCTCAGTTTCTTCATCTGTAAAAGAGGGAATAAATCTACCTCTCAGGATTGTTAGGATGAAATAGACAGTATTTGTATGAGATAGTATTTGCGAATCTTAAAGCTCTTATAAGTATTAGTTACTTTTAATATTACTATTTTTGTTAAACACAGTGCTGCAAAGGTAGACTGGAGCCATACTACAAAGGGCTTAAATGCGAGGAGTATGTTTTTCCTTATAGGCAAAAGGAAACCATTGAAAATTTTTAAGGAGGAGTGTAATGGTCAGGGAAATCTCCTTTAATAGTGTCTCTTCTCACCACCTCTATTTTTTCCTCTATCTTATTCCTTGGAGATTTTATATAAACCAAAACTCAACTATTAACCTTTTTGTGGAAGGCCCACAAATTTTTTTTCTCTCCAGTCTTGTCCTCCCTCTTCTTCTATGCTGAATTCATCTTGCAGCTCCAAAAACTTCTTAAAATTTTTCACTTGAATGTCATTCAACATATCTAAAACCAAATTTACCTTATTTCCTCAACCCTCTACCAAAAATCAGCTCCTCTTATTTTCCCATTTCTGTTAGTTACACACTATTTTCCCTCATCACCAAAGTTTGACATCATCTTTGATCTCTGTGTCTTATGGAAATACAACTGTCACTAAAATCACCCCACTCCTATTATTATCTTCCTTCTCATTCCCATTGATGCCGCTAGACTTACAGGACTTTAATTCAAACCTAGACAATAACATTCCATTGTCTTACAACATAGTCTGCCAGTCTGTCTTTTCCCTTTCTAACCCATCCCTACATACCAATACCATATTAAGACAACTCAAATACTCAAATGGATCTGTGATCTCATAGCTTTGGATTTTCCCTCCAATAATGCAGATTATGGCTAACCTATGTCTCATAAATCTTCGAAATTCTTGTTCATATCCTCCCACAATTTGGACAAAGGGGGAAATCAACCCAATGTGTTGGATGCCTTCCTCAATATCTCTTGGTATCAATGAAGATATGGGCATTCTGGCTGTCCAATTGTCATCCTTCTTACCCCTGACGTGTGACCAACTGAACTTTTTTTTTCTGTCATATTTTTCTTGATGATATATCCTTTACTCCTATTCTTCAAAGTTCCTCATATTATGTCCTCTCCCATTTCCTTCTGTATGACAGTAATTTTCATTTCTTCAGAAATTGTTGTGTTCCCTACCTCAGTGGCCTAACAATGCTACCCACGTACTGATATGATATGGTTAAAAAAATATACTGGTTAAAATTAAAAATGCAGGGTTTTGTTTCTTAGAGAGGTATTGGCTTATTAAAAGAACTTTGCTATTTTCTAATGGCAATCCAGCCAGCTTTCCTCCTCCTCCTGCTGAATTCAACTTGTCCATTTTTATGCTGTCTACACTATATAAATTGAAATCCATCCAACTATATATATCAACCTGAGAAATACCCATTCTTCATCTATTTGGTTTTTCCTTTGTGGACTAACTGGCCAACCTTTTCCCAGTAAGATAATAATGTTCTGGAACTTGATGCAACCAGCCTAATCTACAAACAGGAGCACCTGGAAGATGTCATCTTCATTTAGGAATCTTTCATCAACTTAAGACTATTTTATGTACATAATCCCTTTATTATATTGGCAAACAATTTTAGGCAGTACATATCTCCCTGTCTTATTTCACCTAATGTTTATGACCACAGAGTCAATGAACAATGTTACTTCTATTATCTTTTTCAAGGAATCTGGAATGACTTTTAAGATTTATGGATGGGAGACATCTGGTTAGAAAAGAACCTCTAAAGGATATGTTTTACTAGATTAATTTTCATAAAATACCATTCACATCACTCCCTGTTTTAAAATTTTCAAACCCCCTTTCTACCATCATCACCTTCCCCTTTTTAGTCTGGTACTCAAAGCCTTCCCAATCTGCTAGTTGCCAGAGGTATAAAGACAAAAAAAACCAGTCCCAGCCCTTAAATAGCTTGATTCTATTGGGTGATGCATCACCAGTAAAGCTTCTTTTGATCCTTTCCCCATACTATATGCCAATGCAAAAAAAGATCCCTCCCTCTTCTTACCTCCCAACTTTCTAATGGCCATCCAGCCAGCTTTCCTCCTCCTCCTGCTGAGTTCAACTGGTCCAACTTGCCTTGTTTGTCAGTTGAGTCTTTTATTTCACATTATCACAGAGTATCAGAATTAGGGGGAATGGAAGGAAATAAACATTTTTATAGCACCTGCTATGGGCTGGGACCAAGCACTCTGCTAAGTACTTTTATTAACCAACTAGTCTCCAATACCCTCATTTTAAATAGAAGGAAAATGAGGTAATAAGTGGCAGAGCTTGGATTTAGACGCAAGTCTAATAAGACCATGCTTTTCTCCCTGCTATGCCAAACTGCAATACTATTCTGTACTATACATATCCAGTACAAGTCTTATTTTCCCTTAAAATGCTGGATGCTCCTTGAAAGTACCGCATTTCATAGACTTCTGTATTACACAACACTCTGCCCTGTCTGTACTTAATAATTATTGAAAGGTTTAATCAACGGTACATAGTACACATATATTTCTTTAAAAATATTCTTTTCAGGAGCTTCACTGTCCCCAAAGAGGGTATCATTTCTTTCAGTCTTCTGGCATTTCTTATTCTTTCCACTGATTCAAAAAGTACCAAATATAAAAAAAGGATGACAAATCATACAAAAGAAACAAAACTGGAAATCCATTAAACTCTTCAACCAATCCCTGAACTTTACAACTAAACGGACAAAAGAAACAAAATTCCTCTATGAAATCAGCAGCTTTATCCTGGGGCTCTTTAATACTGTCAAAGTCCAATTTTGTGAGATATTGCAGAAGATTCCTTTAAGGCAGCTCCTGACAGTCAGGCGCTACTTGAGAGGATACTTGGGGAAGCAGAGAGTGATGACCTTGACAGCTAGGGTTGGTATGGAAGGTTAAGGCAGAGGCCACAGAAAATGAAATTGCCTTTCTTCCGGGGCACCACCAGTACTACCACCACGCCCCACCCTCCCTGCGTGGAATGCTCTACCCCTATATCGCCTTTGCCCATTTCCCTGGCTCCAATACCATTTTCTGAAGGAAGGCTTTCTGAGTCTCCGCAGCTGCCAGTGCCTTCCTCTTTCACAATACATTCCTCCCATCTGCTCTGTATATATCTCGTATGTACTCAGGTATTTCTATGTTGTCCTCTCCTCTGTGCCCCCCCCATACTTTGCACAGCGCCTAGCACACACTATAATCACTCAACAACTGCTTATTGCTTTTGCCTTTGCCTTGCTCCTAGAGGGACGGATTTGTATTGGGGGAGGGAAGGGGGCACTGGGGAGTGAGGAGGACGGGTCTTGCCGTAGTTCCTTCCACCCCCCACCCCCAGCGCTTAGCACTGTTAACAGCACCAGACCATTGGGAGCCCTCAGGGCCGGAGAAAAGCCCCGACACGCGTCTGGCCTTCTCGCCCTCCCCCTGATCCGGAAGCTGTCTCTTCGCCCCGCAAGTCTGCCCAGGGGCAGGGAAGCAGGAGCGCCTCCAGGCCCTGCCGGCCCTCCCGGGTGACGTTCAACCTGACCCCGGGGGCTCCTTACCCGCAGCAGCTTCATGAGCGGACGACCGGCCGAGAAAGACCCTCGACCCGAAAGAAAAGCCAGCATCGCCATGTCTCGCAGCTATCACGCCTGCTAGCGGAGGAAACAACCGAGGGCACTAACCGCCTCCAGCCAGTCAACAGAGGGGAAGCGGAGATAACACCGATCCGTCAGCTGACCTCGGCCTGGAACAGTCTCCTTTACCTCCAAGGAGACCGCCAACCACACCCTCGCCTCCACCAATAGGAGAGCGGCTCCCAGTTCAGTGAGACGCCATTGGGTGAGAGCCAGAAAACGGAAGCGTTGGACGATGGCCGGAGATGAGTCATGTACTTGCCTGAGGGAGGATATGGGGACAGGGGCGGGGATTTAGGAGTCTAGCAGGCACCACGTGTTTCCTAGGCTGGAAGCCGACCTGACGGCAAAACTCCTTTAAGCCGAGGCGTTCTTTTATAAATGTCATCCAGAAATAAATTAAGGTCATGAGTTGAGGAATAAAGTGTCTTTAATTGAGATAACAGGATAGCACACCCGCCACCCTGGAGGATGACTGGGAGCTCAGGTGCACAATGGATTTCCCAACCAAGAGACCCATGAAAAGGTTCTTTACAGCTCAAGGAAGGGTGGAGATAGTATGAGGTAGCAAGGCTTGGTCACATGAGATGCCAGCCACCCTTGCCAATCATAGCAAGGAAAACACTTCATTCTGGGTGTTCTGCCCTTCATGCCATGGATTCCAAAAGAAGGGGTAAGGAATTCAGGGGCTACTTGGGGGGGGGGCAGGTCTGGTTCAAGCTGGCTTTGTTTACAAAGAAAGATTCTAGGATGGAGGCTTCCGGTATGGCTCAGCTCAACCTAATCTACATTCTCTTAAGGGTAGGAATGTACTGGAATTCTGATACTGTGAGGATAATTAAGAGGTTGTGGCAATACTTATTACATTTGGTATTAACAATTTCTTGTCATTCCCCCCTCTGATTCTCAAAAGGCAGAGGCTTGTCAATGAGTCATGTATGACACTCAATAATGTGGAGAAAGGGAAGAGAGATTGACTGAAGCATTGACAGGAGTTTTTGGGGAGCAATCTCCAGCAAACAAGCAGGTGTTATACAGAACAGAGGCGCATAAGAAAGAAATAAAAAGAGAAGGATCCATTTCATTGGTCCATTATATCTTTTTCTTCTTCTTCTTCTTTTTTTTTTTTTGGCCAGGCAATGGTGTTAAGTGACTTGCTCAGGGTCACACAGCTAATAAGTGTCAAGTATGTGAGGCCACATTTGAACTCAGGTCCTTTTGACTCCAGGGCTGGTGCTCTACCATTATATCTTAAGGCCCAGATGTTTCATCTCATACAGCTTTCTCGTTTCTAAAAACATCATCTGATGCAGTCCTCTGGTCCTCTAGAGATCTCTCCTGGACTTCTGATATGCATGGGACTTCAGAGCAGTTTCTAGTGAATTTGCTTCTCCAGGATCACTTTTTCTTTTAAAATCTCTTACAAAATAGATCTTAATATGATTCAAGTTTGTTTTGCAAATAACCAGTTCAAGTAGTAGAAAGCTAGTTCAAACCTAAGAAGAACATCAAATTAGAAACTTCTAGACCAGAGAATTTACATTTTTCTATACTCCTTGCTGCTCCTAATCTTAACCTAAACCAGATATTTTGGACACTGCCAACAACAGGGTGACAGGAGAACTAAAAAGAATCTATGAGGATCTAACTAGTAGAATGAGTCATTTTAGTTATGAAATTTGATAATCTGCCAATAGAGTTATGTAGGCTGAGGCTAAAAGATGCCTTTTAAGTTGGTAGAGACTCCACCATCATTTAACTCTTGGTGTTCATCTATTTCATTTTTCACCTCAGATTCAAGTTCCAGAAGGAGAAAGAACTTCAGTTTTTCACCTATATTTGTCTTGTAATGTAGCTTTGCAAATTGTCATGTTGGTATATTTAGGAAAATTCTGAACCCAATTCTTATATTTGGCATATATAATTATCTGATCTTGTTATTTTTTTTAAATAAAATTTTCACCAAAAACAAAATTTTATTTACTTACTATTACCTCTTAACTTTTTATTTTTAGGTGCTCATTTGCCCTCCAGAGGATGAGATTCTGCTAAGGAACTAATAACAGAACACTTTTTATAAGAAAATGACCTCTAATACACAACTCTAAACCAATTAAAAGTTGCCATGTTAATTTTAATTGTAGCAAAATTTGCGATTGTAATTGTATATATTCTTCAGGGTAGGATATATAAACACCCTGAGTAATCAATTTCAAAACAGTTCATATCAAATAAGTTGTTTATAATAAAATATGTTTGTACTTCAAGACATGCTCAATACCCAGATGGTAATTCCAAGTTAAATAATAAGCTGAAGGAAAATTGACTTTTCCCATTTAGATAACAAAATATTTCTTAATTACTCTTTTCTAAGGAAACTGATTGCACTGAAATTATTTTCTTTAAAACAAATCCGAAGGTGTTTCTGATTTAGTCTTAATAATTATTAGAATAACAGCTTGGTCCCATAAACTATTGCATCAATACCCAATTATTCTTACATTATTTTGAAATATATAAGAACCTTGTTTTATGCACAAATATATCACCAGTAACAGGCACATAACAAGGTCAAATACTCATCTACTTAGTTGTTTAGAATATAGAAAGGACCAAAATTCTAGGCTAAATAGCTCAAATCTTATACCTGCATCTTATTATAGTAGCTTAGATGTAGCACCAGTATTAGCCTAAGAGATAAATATTTAATATTGTTATTAATGATGTAATTAATATTAACTGAACACCTGACATGATTATATAAATTTGCCACAAAAGGAGAATTAGGGATATAGCTATAATAAGGGGAAAATGGTCCCCTAACTTCATGTCAATCCCAAGCAAGAATCATATAGATAGCCAACTGCATTGAGCCAGGCTAAAATGGTGGGATACTTTCAATTCAAGAGGAAATTTTATGCTGGGGAAATCAAGTCAGGGTAATCCTATCTCAGCCCATGCCAAGAATAGTTCTCCCAGACTACCCTGTGAGACCTTCACTTGCAGTTCATCTTGATGATCATACCTGGAATCAGACTCAGTTAATCTCATAAGATTTTAAACAGCAAGTTCTAATAATCATAGCTTTGGGTGAATTTAATTATTAAAGATCACATATCATTGAGAACAAGTATTGACTGTAATATCAGATTGAAAACAGTAAGAGAATTGTAATTTTTAAAATCACAATTTATCTTGCCCTGGTTAGAGATATTTATTAGAAACAGGGCCCTGAATATATCAATACTGGTCCTAAAGGACTATGCCCAAGGCTCAGAATGACTATAAGCAACCAAGTATATGGAACCAAGTGGCCAGATTTCTTGTATAGGAAAATGAATTGAGAGTCCAACCTTAGCCTTCCCAAGGTTGCCCTCCCAACTTTATTCCCAGGGACAGATAGATATCCACTGGCCTTAGATTCCAGATGTCACTCCCATTTTGCTGCTGGTGTTTTTCTTTTTCTTTTTTTTTTTTTACTTTTTTCAGCAATTGGGGTTAAATGACTTGCCCAGGGTCACACAGCTAGCAAGTGTCAAGTGTTTGGTCTGAGGCCGGATTTGAACTCGGGTCCTCCTGACTTCAGGGCCGGTGCTCTATCCACTAGCTGCCCCTGCTGGTGTTTTTTTTTGAAGTGGTCATTTAGGGTTTGCCCAAGGATACAACAAACCTAAGAATGAAGCTCAAGAAGTACATTCAAGGTCCCAAAAAGGTTTCACATAAAACAGCAAAGTCTCATTTATCACAGTAGGGCTGGACAAAATTGTTGTCAGTCCTCTCAAGTTGTTGCAATAAATTGGCTAACAAATAAAATTTATCAGACTTTCTAAAAATCATGCAAGAGATTTTTACTTAACATTCCTTTCTACTAGTATTTCTTTCTCAAAAACAGCTTAAAATTTATCATGATATAAAAAGGCAATTATTGGAACCTAATAAAGTAATATATGATAGCTGCAAGTTCACATATAGTGAATATGATAACTATAAACCTTCTGATCTTCTGATTGTCTCAGGAGGACCAACTGTTCTGCCCCTACTCTTATTTACCCTGAGGCACTACTTTATCTTGTTTGTGGGGGAAATCTGAAGGGCTTGGAATTTTCTGACCTACTGTACCATCTTCCCAGAATCCTCTCCTCTATATTCTCTTAAAGGTAGGAATATAAGGACATTACTGGAATTCTGACATTAGTAGGATGATTAAGAGGTTGTGGCAGTTCATATTACATTTGGTATTGACAACTTTCTGTCATTATATTAACAGTTCTTGGTCACAGATGAGGGAATAAAGAGATTTCATAGAGGATCAGAGGAACACATGATCCCATAGAGTTCCATGGAGGCTAGGTGCCCAGATGAGGCTCTGGGCTAAAGTCCTTAAGGTTACCTCAAGTTTCTACTGCTCCAGGAGACCCCTGGATCAATTCCATTTCAAAATTCACATTCATGTGAATTCTGACATTCATATATGAATCAGATTTAGTTTAATAAACAGAAATTAAGCATGCCTATTACTGCCAAGGAGCAGCTAGGTGGCACAGTGGTTGAGTCTGGAGTCAGAAAGACCTGAGTTCAAATGCAGCCTCACACAGTTACTAGCAGTGTGACCCTGGGCAAGTCACTTAACCCTGTTTGCCTCAGTTCCTCATCTGCAGAATTAGCTGAAGAAGAAAATAGCAAACCACTTTAGTATCTTTGACAAGAAAACCCCAAATGGGGTCATTAAGAGACAGACATGACTGAACAACAAAAAAATTATTGTGAAGGCCAAATGCTTCTGATACATTATTAACATTGCTAATTTAGTATCCCTTTAAGTGCTTCTGTAGAACTCTGGAATATCCATTATGGGAAAAACCCTATGGAAGAAATGCTAACTTCCTAAATTTGAACATAGTCTGCACTATCTTATTCAAAGGTTCCCAATCTTATTTGGCCTACCACTTCCTTAAAAAAAATTACTCAGCTCTCCCCTGGAAATCTACTTTCTTTACCCTTTAGCAGTTTTTGAAATTTGTGTCATTTCAAAAATACATACATATATATACATATATATTTTAAAATGACACATCTTAAATTTAACAATTTATCATTTAAATATATTTGTGTATTTTTCCTGCATTGAAATTTTGATGATGCAATATTGCATAAT